TGTTGCTTTTATGACTATATTCTGTAATACAGCTTAAAATTGATATAGTAATCCCATCAGCATTGCTGTTAGTGCTCAGGGTTGCTTTACTATCTGAGGTCTTTTGTGTTTCCACAGGAAACTTAGGATTTTTTTTTCAAATCTGTGAAAAATGTCATGGGGATTTTTATTGGCATTGCATTGAATCTATAAATGACTTTTGATAGGATAGTCATTTTCACAATATTAATTCTTCCAATCCATGAGCATGGGAGCCATCTTCTGATGTCTTCCTCAATCTCTTTCTTTAAAGATTTAAATTTTTCATTGTAGAGGTCTTTAATGTCTTTGGTCAGATTTATTCTGAGAACTTTTATTTTATTTTTTTCAGCTATTGTGAAGGGGAGTATTTCCATGTGCTCTTTCTCTGCTTGTTATTGGTATATAGAAAGGCTACAGACTTTTGTAGGTTAATTTTGTAACCTGCCACTTTACTGAACGTGTTCATAATTTCTAGGAGTTTTCTGGTGGAATTTTTGGCATCTCTTAGACATAATATCATATCATCTGCAAAAAGGGATAATTTAATCTCTTCTTTTTCAATTATTACTCCTTTAATTTCCTGCTCTTGTCTTATTGCTCTTTCAAGAGTTTCAAGCACTATGTTAAAAAGAAGTGGAGATAGTGGACAGCCTTGTCTGGTTCCTGATTTCAGTGGGAAATGCTTCCAGTTTTTCTCCATTTACAATGATGTTGGCTGTGGGTTTGTTATATATGGCTTTAGTTATGTTGAGGTATGTTCCCTCCAGTCCAATTCTCTCTAGGACTTTGAACATGAATGCATGTTGAATTTTGTCAAAGGCCTTCTCTGCATCTATTGAGATGACCATGTGGATCTTGTCTTTGAGCCCATTTACATGATTTATGACATGTATTGACTTACATATATTGAACCATCCCTGCATCTCTGGGATATAGCTTACTTGATCATGGTGGATGATTTTTTTGATGTGAGTCTGTATGTGGTTTGCAAGTATCTTGTTGAGAATTTTTGCATCTATGTTCATTAAGGATATGGGTCTATAGTTTTCTTTTTTGGTTGTATCTTTACATAGATGGTTTTGGTATTAGAGTGATGCTGGCTTCATAGAAGGAATTTGGAAGTTCTCTCTCCATTTCTATCTTTTTGAATAAATTAAGTAGTAGTTCTTCTTTAAATGTCTGATAGAATTCTGCTGTAAATCCCTCTGGTCCTGGGCTTTTTTTAGTCGGGAGCTTTTGTATTACTGTTTCAATTTCTCTTTGTGTTATGGGTCTGTTTAAGCTGTTAATCTCTTCTTGGTTTAGTTTTGGTGGTTCCCATGCCTTTAGATATCAGTCCATTACTTTTAGGTTTTCAAATTTAGTAGCATATAGGTTTTTAAAGTATTCCCCTATAATGTTCTGTATCTTTCTGCTGTCTTGTTGTGGTATTTCCCCTTTCTACTCTGATTTTGTTGATTTGGAGGTGCTCTTCCCTTCTTTAGGTAACTGGGCTAGTGGCCTGTCAATCTTGTTTATCTTTTCAAAGAACCAGCTCTTTTGGATTCATTGATTCTTTGTATTGCTTTCTTTGTTTCGATTGCATTAATTTCTGCCCTCATTTTTCTTATTTCTTCTTGTCTGCTGAGTTTGGGTTTCATTTGTTGTTGCTTTTCAAATGTCTTGAGTTGCAATTTTATGTCATTTATTTGTGTTCTTTCCGATTTTTTGATTTAGGCACTTAGAGCTATAAACTTCCCTCTAAGGACAGCTTTCAGCGTGTCCCACAGGTTTTGTTGTGTTGTATTGTCCTTTTCATTTAGTTCCAGGAATACTTTTATTTCTTTCTTAATTTCTCTTTTGACCCATTCATCATTCAGGAGTGTGTTGTTCAATCTCCATGTGTTCATGTGGTGACTAGGGCTTCCTCCAGGTTTCAGCTTTGTTGCTTTGAGGTCTGATAGAATGCATGGAATCATTTCTGTCTTTTTATTTTGTTGAAGTTTGTTTTGTGCCCCATTATTTGGTCGATTTTGGAGAAGGCGCCATGGGGCGCTGAGTAGAAAGTATATCCTTTGGTGCTTGGGTGTAATACTCGGTTGATGTCTGTTAGGTCCATTTTATATATGGTATTGTTTAATTCAGATGTCTCTCTGTTAACTATCTGCCCTGTTGACCTATCTAATGGAGACAGTGGGGTATTGAAGTCCCCTACTATTCATGAGTTGGGATTAATCTGGGTCTTAATGTCCTGTAGTATTGTTTTTATAAAGTTGGGTGCACTAGAGATTGGTGAATATATGTTCGTAATTGTAATACCTTCTTGGTTAGTTTTTCCTTTGATCAGAATGAAGTGGCCCTGTTTATCTCTTCTGATTAGTTTTAATTTAAAGCCTATTTTGTAAGATATTAGAATTCCAATGGCTGGTTTTTTCTTAGTACCATTCTCTTGGTGTATTTTTTTCCATCCTTTCACCTAAAGATAGTGCCTGACCTTGAAAGTGAGATGAGTTTCTTACAGACAACAGAAAGTTTTGTTTCTTAATCCATTCACCTAGTCTGTCTCTTTTGACTGTCAGTTCAGTCCATTAATATTTAAAGTTATTAATGAAAGATGTGTATTGAATCCTATCATTTTTATTTCTGTTCACATTCTTCATATAGCTATACTTTTCTACAGTTATATCTTCATTGAATTTCTTTCTGTAACCCCTGGGTATAGTCATTCCTTTCTTCAGCTCTTTGTGTTTCTTACAGAACTCTCTGAAACACTGGTTTTGTGGACATGAATTCCTTCAGGCTATTTATGTCATGGAAGATTTTTCTTTCCCCTTTGACTATAATAGACATTTTGGCTGGGTATAATAATCTAGGTTGACATCTGTGGTCATTTAAAACTGGGAATACTTTGTTCCAGGCTCTTCTGGCTTTCATAGTTTGCACTGAAAAGTCAGCTGTAATCCTAATGGATTTTCCTTTATATGTGACTTGTTGTTTCTCTTTTGCAGCTTTCAGTATTGTCTCTTTGTTCTATACATTTAGTGTTTTTACTGTGATGTGCTGTGAAGAGTTTCTTTTCTGGTCCTATCTGTTAGGTGTTCTATATGCTTCTGTGATCAACACTGTCCCCAATTTTCAGGATATACCACTAGTCACTGACCACCATGGCGATCAGCAGCACAAAGCTGCGCTGTGTGCTCAGGACAGTGGTCAAGTGCAGTAGGGTCATGCGACGGACCAGCCCAGACTGGAGCACTCAGTCCAACAGGAACAGGGAATCGGAGAGTGGGCAAGGATTCGGCGAGTGACAAACAGACACAACACAAGAGGTGGTTGGTCATCTGAATGTAATTTTCTAAAGTGGAGCATCAGATTTTATACAAGTTACAGAACAAGATTGTGTAAGCATTAGGTTGATTTCATGGTTAATCATTTTCTTAGAAATACAATTCAACAATTTTTGAGGGATGGAAGTGAGTAACTTGAGGGCCGCATACAATAAAGTAATTTTCTTTTTCATTATGAAGCAGTTTGGTTTGAGGTGACAAAGAGATGTTGTGAATATTGGGGGAATATTATGGTTCCGTTTTCTCAATTTTGAGGTTTCAGTGGCCGAGGTCAATGACTAGGTCAGTGAAGTTATAATAACTCCATATAACTTCAAAGGCTTGTTTCTCTAATCCTTATTTTCCTATTCTTTCTATCCATGTTTCTTATACTGCCTGTAATTATTCAAATATACTTTGCTTCTGACTTGTAGTAAAGGCACCAAGGTGGTCTGGATCTAGCTAACATATCCATAAACTATAGTGAATACCATGAAACCTTCCTTCCTAGAATATTTACCCATCTATTATTTCCTTCATAAACTCCTGTAAGAGGAAGTGGTTCATCAATGGGCTTGGGAATTCTGAATATGCTTTCCTTTCCCTTAAGGGGATGCCATAGCCTACCTCTCCCTAACTCATAGGCAATTCCAAAGTCTGTCTTAACTGTAGGCAGCAATCTTCTTTTAGCATCCCTT